GCTAATTTATTACACCCAGGATTTTAGGGTGTACGAGGGGACACGTGACCAGCCGATGCCAGGGCCTTTTCCCGCCCCACCCATTTTTTAAGGGAAAAGCCCTGGGGACGAGGTTGCTCTAGATTCTGATTTCGGCACCTAGAAATTTCGTAGCTTTCGTAAACTAAGAATAGCAAAAAACCGGGCTAATCAGTCAGTGCCATGCCGTATTTCAGATTTTTCAGTAAGTGCCGTGCGAATTGAGTTCGGCAGGGTACAAGACGTTTGAAACTGGCATTAAAATCACTTAAATGCCTTTTCTATTGTTCTTATTTTTGTTCTTCTTATTTTTTTATTATAATTATTCTTATTATTACACCTAGAATTTTCTATACATTCTACGTCGCCCTAGAAAATTCGAAGACATTCCCACAAGAGATAGAGTTTTCGGAACAAAATTGAAAGGACCCCTAAAAATTTCGGCTAAGGGAAAAGCTCGTCTGGTAATCTTACGTTTTCGGAAAGCTTTCACTGTAGGCTGTTATTTTCGGGAAAGGCGAAAAACAGCCATAAAAAATTCGAGAGGTTCAAACCACTCCTAGGACGACCGAACAGATCAAATTTTTTTAGCGATGCGAATTATTGATTTATATTGCTTTTAAAGCACTCCAGGATGCATAACGAGCCATTTCAGATCATTTCCCAGAAAACGGTCGTTGGGTGCCCCTGTGTACATTGTACGAATCTATAAATAAATAAATAATAAACTAGAAATAGCTGGCGCTAGAGTGCCAACGAGTAAAAACGGCGACAGTTGCTTGCCGAATGAAAATGAAGAAGTAACCAGACTACAGAACATTTTTTTCAAATTGAATGATTGTTTAAAAAAGCATTGCAAAACGCACATGCTATTCTTTGTTGTTTAGAATGTCCGTAAGAACTAAACTTGTAAGGCAGATTAGAGCTGAAATATATGTAGCCCTTGCATTACCTGAGACAAATGAGCATGAATTGAAATGTGTCAAATGTCTTTAATACCAAAACTTGTAACGTAAATTACAAATGCAAATCTGAGATGCTTTTCTTCGTCTTTTTAGAATGTTTTTAAAAACGAAACTTGTAAAGTAGATTCCAAATGCAAATCCTTGTTTTTGAAATGTCTTTAAGAACTGAACTTGTAACAGAGATAAAAATGCATATCTCACATGATTTCTTTTGTTTTTAAAATGTTTCATGTTCGTGTTTTAACATGATTTTAGAAGGCAACTTTGAACGTAGTTTACATAGTAAGTAGTTTCATGCCAAGATAGCCCATTAATCAATCGTTCCATAGTGTCATTGCGCCAGTCCATTTGAAAGAGATGTCACCTGGGTTATGGTGTTTTTGTTCACATTATAGGTGAAGTGGATATCCTTGAGGTCCATAAGGTGGTCTTCAATAGATTCTGAGTCACTCATAAGGGAAAGCTCTGGAGACAGAGCCAGAAGACTTTCAATTTCTTTTGTGAACGCTGTCAGCCATATTTCCTTTCCAGCTATTTCTACTTTGACTTGCACAGATGCATCTCTCTTGCATTCGCCTTGACGCTGCCTTACTCCACAGTTCCTGCATTTTATGTACTTCTGATGGGCACTCTCTGTTATCTTCCTCTTACAAGCTTGACAAGCAACGAATATGCTTAGGTTGTTAAGAAACTTGAACATGTCGACTTTAACTTCTTTTTCTGGGTTTTCCAGTAGTGTAGGCCCTTGCACAGACTTAAGTTGTTTGC